TTTCTCACCCCGCGCCCCAGGTATCATAAGCCATAAGCTTTCCTCGAACTCCGTTTTCACCACTACTTCCACCACGTCAAACAAGTGTTCCTTGACCAGGAATCCGACTCCCCCCTCCCCCCTTTTCTTCGGGTCTAAGCCCTTTCTTGCCTTCCCTACCCACCGGTATTTCCCTAGTTTGCTTACCACGTCCCCATCCTTCAATTCCCACGACTCTTGGATCCCCACTACATCTAGATCGCTTTGTTCTACTTGGTCCACTATTTCCAACCGCTTGCGCTCGAACCCGTACACGTTCCACGACCCGACTCTCGGCTTGTGCTTTTCCCTATTGGAGATTTTGCGCACTCTATCGTTCGCCTTCCGCTTCTTCTCTGCGGTCTTCTGGCTTCCCTGCTCGCCTCCCCCGCTCGGTCCTTTCTTCGCCTCCATCGCCCTCGCCTCTTGTCTCCTTACCTTCTCTGTTTCTATCATTTTCGCGATGCAAACCCTCGGGGCGCCGCGTAAACGTGCTATGGCGCGGCGGCTCCTCCATACAGCGGCGCGTTCCCGTGCTGCGCTGAGTCGTAGCCGCCTTGGGACTGGTATCCGCGGTGCCCGTTCTGTAGATGCGGTCCCGCATACGAGGGCCGGGGCGCCGGCTGCTGCGCGTTCATATATGCTGCTGTATGCATACGGCAGCATACAGCAGTAGATGCGGTTGCTGCACTCGTCTTTATCCTGCCTGCAACCCACAGCTCATCCAAAGACCCAACAAAACCCATCACAGACAGCCTTGGGTATGCAGTACGCACCTCCCTAAATCTCTACAGATGCACGGATCATGTACCGCGGTGTTCCTACTCACGGGGGGTGTCGACGCTGATGGGCCGGCCCTGGCGCTGCTTGTGTCAACCGAGGTGGGCCTGCTTGCCGCGTTTGTCCAGCATCTCACCAAAAGCTGCACCCAAAAGAGAGTGAGAGAGCCAATGAGTAACACCTGGGCTAAGACAGAGACGACGCGGGGGACGTAATGGCTTGAAGTCGGAGCAGCCATGGGCGGTGTGGGCGTGTCGCGGGTCCCAGGCAGGCCGGATGCCTCTCGCGGGACTGTTGAAAAACTCACACCGCCTCGCCGAATTCGGTATAATTTATAATTGGTCCGGCGCCACCGGTATTCACCCGCCGGCATGATGACCAAGGATTCGGCATAACCGTGAATCCGTGGTTTGTGGAAGCGTTCCGGAAATTTCGTGAAAGAGCGGCGAGAGGCAAACAAGGGTACAGCAGTAGTAGGTGGCCCGATAGTGGCATATTGTGGCAAGAGGACAATATGCCACTATTCAAGGCAGTTGCCACTATCCGATATAGTGGCAAAAGTGCCACTACTGGCCGGCATTAGTGGCACTTTTGCCACTAGACTATATATCGGATGAGAAGCTTTGATATTCACGATATCGACTGCATTTCATTGNCAAGGGTACAGCAGTAGTAGGTGGCCCGATAGTGGCATATTGTGGCAAGAGGACAATATGCCACTATTCAAGGCAGTTGCCACTATCCGATATAGTGGCAAAAGTGCCACTACTGGCCGGCATTAGTGGCACTTTTGCCACTAGACTATATATCGGATGAGAAGCTTTGATATTCACGATATCGACTGCATTTCATTGGATGTACACTCATGTGCGCTGTATACGTGCGGGTAATGCCATGATATGCTGCACTCCTCGTGGTTTAGCATTTGTGTGCAGCAGTATCCTCATGAACTGCTTCAAACGACACTAGATTGTCCAAGGGTCCGGGCCATCTGTGGTCGAATCCCATTTTTCTGTGCAAACAGACTGCAGGATCCACGGTACGTCCAAACGCATTGTAGCCACGTGTTCACAGCAGTTCTAGGTCCGCGCAGGTTTCCATGATACGTGCGGCGGCCACTGCTGATCGGTGTGTGGGCAGGTGTGGTACAGCAGTGGTGGGGGCTCGCTACTTGGAACTGCCACTATTGGGTGTGTGGAATGTCCAAAATGCCACTATTGAGGGCCCCGTCCGCAATAGTGGGAAAGTGCCACTTTTTCTAGTTGAGATTTTGCCAAGAGAATTTCATGCCACCATTCCGGGCAGGGGCAACAAAAAAAGTATTCAGGTTGCCACTATACCGGGCCACCTACTGTACACGGGGGTATAGCTAAATACAGGGTGCAAAGAAGAGAGAGAAAGTGGCAGAAGCTTTTGGGATCCTTGGGAAGCCGAGGACCTCAAAGGGAAAAGCGTTGCATCGCCCGCGAAGGCAATGCAGCAAAGCAGCAGCGAGAGAATAGAGTTTTCGTTTGGGACTTGATCGAATTTGATCGAGTTTGTCCTAGACACGCCGGAGCGATGAACAACGGCAACAACCTGCAGCAGCAGGGTCAGGGTCCCCCCCAGCAGCCGCAGCCAGCGCAGCCAGCGCAACCTCCACCGCCTCCACCGCCGCCTCCAGGTGGACCACCGTCCGCAGCTAACCAACAACAGAGCAGCGGCGGCGGAGGAGGAGCAGTAGCGGCAGTTCCCCATGGTGGCGGACAGGCAGTAGCAGCGGGAAACCAGCCAGCAGGGGCGGCGGAAAACCAACAGGCGGCGGGACACAACAACGCGCCTCCGGCAGCAATAGGAGGAGACCAGAACGCGGGCGGAGCCGCGCCAGCCGGGCTGGGAGGCCCACCTCCCCCCATCAACCCTGTCCAGCTACTGCTGCAGATGTCTGTACTGCTAAAAGAGCAAAACGACCGACTCGGCAACCTGGAGCTCAGGATGCAGCAGCAGCAGCAGCAGCAGCAGCAGCAGCACCCGCAGGACCAGCACCCGCAGGACCAGCACCAGCAACAGCAACAGCAACAGCAACAGCAACAGCAACAGCAACAGCAACAGCAACAGCAACAGCAACAGCAACAGCAACAGCAACAGCAACAGCAACAGCAACAGCAACAGCAACAGCAACAGCAACAGCAACAGCAACAGCAACAGCAACAGCAACAGCAACAGCAACAGCAACAGCAACAGCAACAGCAACAGCAACAGCAACAGCAACAGCAGCCTGGCCACCTCCCCCCTGGAGGCCTCTAGCAGCAAGGTCAGCCCCAGCCCATCAATCTCCCTCTAGGTAGCCAGATCGTGCTACAGCCCCAGCAAGCGCAAGCTCTGGGCCAAAACATGAACGTGTCGAACCAGGCCCTCAACACCCATGTACAGAAAGAAAGGTTTCGCCGCGATACGAAGGCATGGGGAGACGAGTCCGCGACGACGCTGCTTCTGCTGCGCGGCGGGTGGTTCATTAGCACCACGCTGTCAAATGACGCAATCGCCCAGCTGCTGCGCAAAGTGGCCTATCCCGACGCCGAAATGATCGATTCGCTGATGACCCTCGCCAACGTCGACATCACCAAGTTCTCCCCACCTATCCCTACGGGGTGGATCCCGCAGCCACGCGACTTCTTCGTTCACCTCGAGACGTTCGTGAAAGCTTCGCCGTGTTGGACCATGGCACACACGCCGCAGGCGAACCATCGACCGNACGACGCTGCTTCTGCTGCGCGGCGGGTGGTTCATTAGCACCACGCTGTCAAATGACGCAATCGCCCAGCTGCTGCGCAAAGTGGCCTATCCCGACGCCGAAATGATCGATTCGCTGATGACCCTCGCCAACGTCGACATCACCAAGTTCTCCCCACCTATCCCTACGGGGTGGATCCCGCAGCCACGCGACTTCTTCGTTCACCTCGAGACGTTCGTGAAAGCTTCGCCGTGTTGGACCATGGCACACACGCCGCAGGCGAACCATCGACCGGTCGCAGGCAACAGTTGAAAGCCGAAGTCAGCCGCGTTGTGTCCAACGCCCGGGACTACCTCAGCCTTCATTCAGCGGAGATCACGGGTCAAGAAGCAGCGGTGAAGACGCGCCTGATCACCGACACCAACACCGACATCAACGAGTACCTCGGGAACATCTCAGACCTTGGCGTCGCGACCCGCACCGACGACGACATCTCCCCGCCGGCAGATGACGACGTGCAACCCGTCGCCCCCCCCGCGTTTTCGCGGCTGCGCGGTCTCACCGCGGAAGGCAGCGCCAACGCCATCGTCGGAAAGCTTAACAACGGCCTGGCCGGGCTCCCGCAGCCATAGAAGAGGAAAGCGTCAGCGAGCAGCGCCACGAGCCGACATACAGCATCCCGCCCGCGGATAACCGCCGCACCCGTCGCCAACCAACACGCGGTGGCGACACTGTCCTCGTTCCAGCAGGACCTCCTCACGTGGGGAACCCCCCACCGCGCGTGTCACTCCCACTGGAAAGGGCAAAAGTGCACCCGCCCGCACTGCATCCTCAACCACGTACAGGTTCACCCCAGCGTCGCCCCCCCGGTCCGCCGCCCGATCCGCCGCCCACAGCGCCCGCCCGGGCCCCCGCTCCCGCGACCGCCCTTGCTCCTGCCCCCGCCCCCGCCCCCGCCGCATCACGCCCCGTGGTCGCCCGTTACAGCAACAACTACAGGCCACACGGAGCAGCAGGAACCAACTCCTGACAATACGGGCCCCATCCAGAGGTGAGGCCAACGCGGCTGAGGGGGGCGGGTGGCACCACGGTATCAGCTTTTGTAGACAGGAGCAGAACCGTGGCGCTAACTGAAGCGCCTCTTCCCGGGCTGGTGGCACCGAACGTGTTCTACGGTGAGAGAAGAAGTACCCGCCCGAGTAAATCAAGTACTAGTAGTGAGGAATAGAAATTGCTGCAGAGCCAGAGTTGATAGGCCAATCTCACCAAGGAGTAAAACATCCGTGTACTTTTAGAAGTACCAGCCAAAGTAATTCACGCACCAATAGTGATGAACATGAAATTCCTGCAGAACCAGCGCTATTGGATCCCTCTAACCAAGGAGGACAACCGTGTGCTAGACTTGAACAAGTGAGAGAAAAAGACCCCCGTAACACGGGAAAAGAGAATAGGCCCGGCGTGAACACCGGAGAAGACCCCCGTAACAAGAGAGAAGCAGACCCCTCGCACCAGGGAAAAGATCGCAAGAGTGCTAGACCCAATACGTGTATTGGAGACAAAGATAGAGAAGGACCTAGTGGGAACACTAGAGAAGACCCCGGTAATAAGGGAGAAACGGAACCCTTGCACTAGGGAGAAGATCGCAAGAGTGCTAGACCCAATACGTGTATTGGAGACAAAGATAGAGAAGGACCTAGTGGGAACACTAGAGAAGACCCCGGTAATAAGGGAGAAACGGAACCCTTGCACTAGGGAGAAGATCGCAAGAGTGCTAGACCCAATACGTGTATTGGAGACAAAGATAGAGAAGGACCTAGTGGGAACACTAGGACCTAGTGGGAACACTAGACAAGACCCCCGTAACAAGAGAGAAACCCTCGCACCAGGGAGAAGATCGCAAGAGTGCTAGACCCAATACGTGTATTGGAGACAAAGATAGAGAAGGACCTAGTGGGAACACTAGGACCTAGTGGGAACACTAGACAAGACCCCCGTAACAAGAGAGAAACCCTCGCACCAGGGAGAAGATCGCAAGAGTGCTAGACCCAATACGTGTATTGGAGACAAAGATAGAGAAGGACCTAGTGGGAACACTAGGACCTAGTGGGAACACTAGACAAGACCCCCGTAACAAGAGAGAAACCCTCGCACCAGGGAGAAGATCGCAAGAGTGCTAGACCCAATACGTGTATTGGAGACAAAGATAGAGAAAGACCCAGTGCGAAAACTGGAGACGACCTCCGTAACAAGGAAGAAGCAGACCCCTCGCACGAGGGAGGAGGTCGCAAGAGTGCTCGACACAAGACGTGTATTGGAGACAAAGACCCCTACGGCAAGAGGGACACGGGTAGTGACGGGTCGGCAGCCTTGCCACCTTCTTATGGGAAGCTACTGGCTGAAATGTGGAGAGAACAAAAGGAATGCCTCGCACGTGGCACACGAATTGACGAAAAACAGGATATCATCCACGAACTTGCAAAGACTGGTAGCATGCTTCTGAAAACGAACGATGGAAAGTTGGGAGATGTCGCGAGGGCAATCGGCGGCACCTTGGTGTCACCGCCGCTAAACCTGAGCGACCTCGAACAACACGTCGGAACCAAAAAACGCTTCCCAGACTTAACGAATCTCGTAGACATCATAGACAACGGTGTGCCAGCGAAAACACACGACAGCCCGCCAAACCTCGAGATCGCTCTGCGATACGGAAATCACAGTACGATAGACGCCCACATGGAACTGGTGTGGAAGAAGCTGATAGACGACGTCGAACAGAACAAGTGCCTCGTATTCAACGTCGCGGATGCAACTTGCATGAAGGGCGTACGCGTCTCGCCGCTAGGAGAAGTGGTGGAAAAAAAATCAGAATCATCAACGATTTTTCTTTTGACCCCAAGCTGCTGCGCGGACAGAAGGGAGGAGTCAACGTCGATACGGTATCGGAAGAAGTACCCGACTGTTTGTGCGGAGAGACTCTACCTGCTTTCCTTTCTGAAATAACGCGCTTGAGAGTCAAATGGCCTGACAAGAGGATACTAGTGTCCACGGCGGACGTGAACAACGCTTACCGAAACGTGAGAGTTGCGCCAGACGATGCACAAAAATTCTGCTATGTTTCTTCAGACTGACGTTTGGATGGGCAGGTTCGCCCGGTAATGGGGAGTCATGGCGTCCGCCGCTGAACGCTCACACCGCAACACCAACGTACACGACGTACAGCTAGTAGACGAAGGGATCGAAATGATGTCACATGTGAAAATAGTCGAGCCGTGGGAAGATGGACATCCCGCCCGAGTGCCCCGAGGTGCCAACGTGAAACCGCAAGACGGAGGCGGATCACACGATGATTTCTCGTGCGAGGTGTACGTAGACGATTTCGCTTTACTGAACGTGCAACATGCGCCAGACGACGCATCAGCGTTGGTAGCCTCCGCGTCATTAGCGTCTGACTGTGTGAGACTCTTCGGGCCAGCAGAGGCGGGCCAAACGCCCATTCTTGCCCCGAAGAAAAGCACAGACTGGAACACGAAAGTGGACTTTCTCGGACACACGATAGACACCCATAAAATGACGATCGCGACAACACGTGAGAGGATCGACGCGATAAGGACCGCGCTAGAGAACGATTGGCCACAGACCAGAGAATTCGCCAGTGTGCAAGAAGTCCTGAGTATGGCGGGAAAACTCTGGAACCTGACGGACGTCATGAGGGCGGGGAAATATTTCGTATGGCACCGCCTCACCGGCCTACACAACAAGACTAACAGACAGTCGAGAGAGAAGCGGCAGGTACGTCTTGGTTCGGAGTTCCACGGAGACCTAGACTTCAGGAGATGGGCGCTGGAAGTTAAACTCGCGAAGAAAGGAGAGTCACTTAAGCGCGTTTTCCTTTAAGCACGTCCAACGCACGCCTCTCCGTCACTACCTATCGGATGCTAGCTTCGACGCGGTAGGCGGACACTGTCCCGAATAAAAAGTGTTCTGGCGGTATCGATTTCAACCCGCGTTTACCGCGGAGCTGAAAAGGAAAGCAAAAGCCAAAGAAACCAGCGCAATCACGATCAACACGCTAGAATTGCTCGGGATGATAATTACATGCTGGGTGGTCCAAATGGTTGTGGGAGAAAAGCCGACGCAACCCGGACAAGCTATCATGATGAGGGGAGACAACGTGTCGGCGGTATCATGGGTAAACAGCAGCGGGGGCTCGAGAGATAGGCGAGCGGGACTGCTCATGAGACTGCTTGGTCGTATGGAGATTGAAAACGGATGGTGTCACGTGGCGAAACACATCCCGAGACGCGAGAATACCCTTGCGGACGGGATATCTAGATGGAAGTCAGAGGACGTAAAAGTCAACGTGGAAAGACTCGTGCACGACGATAACTGGCGAATGCAAGACATCGGAGACAACGGAAGATATATAATTGAAATGATACTGCAGGAGAAACTCCCGAACCAAAGAATGGATGGCCTCGTGTGGAGCCGCATGGCAAGCGGGTAAAGAGAAGGAGTGATGAGGGAATGATCAGCAAAAGAACTACAAAAAAAAAAGTTTGATGACTCTAACGTGTTCAAGCGCAGGAAGCGAACACGGGACGAAGGGAACGAGCGATGAAGGCGAAAGGCTCCTCAGGATTATGGAGCACGGCTCCCTCAACGCGAGCACGCTGAAGGGATACCACAGCAAGTGGGACACGTGGACAGCTGAAAGAGCTAAAGCGAATCTGAGTCCATGGTTGTACGAAGAAGACGGTGTGGATAGCGCAGTGAGAGGGCTGACTGTGTTCATGGCGTCGAGGTGTTTAGTGTACAAGAACCAGAGCCAAACGGTGAAGGG